TTCGTGGATTTCCCAAACTGTGGAAACGTCTGCGATACATGTCCTTTGTTACGTTTAATGAATTTCGCAATGAAGTAGGCGATGTGGGACGAACAGTTCGGGAGCATCGTCGTCAACAACGACGACGACGACGACGACGACGGGAAGACCCGGAGGAGAGAGTGGCGCACAAAAACGCGTTTATGTCCAAGAAGAGAGAAAGAGGGATAGCCGAGAGGCAGCTGCGCCTAAAAACCACCCACGACAAAGCGTGAACCGGTTGTTGCAGTATCGCACCCCCGCCGCGACCAGAAATACGCGCGTGTGTGCATACGGAGATTACCGACAAGAGAGAGAGGAAGAGGGAGAGGAGGAGGAAGAGAGGAGAGGGAAAGAGAAAGAGAGAGCGAGGTCGAGTCTTTGGAACGATCCCAAAATACGTTCAACCACGATTTTATTCTCGAAGACGCCGCGATCACGCCATGTGAGGAAACGGGTTTCTTCACCCTCTGTACAGTCGAATGGAACGGACGATGCACTCGCAACGCGGAAACTCTGCAATAGACGATATGAATACGAATATCTTACGACTGTTGATGTATATATAAAATTTTTTAACGATTATATATATACACATAGTAAACTCTCTACTGCCTAAATTAGTTTTCATGTTTAAAGAATTTTTCATGTACATACGATGTTTAAAACTAAGGTACTCAACACATATAAAATGAAATTTTACTTTTCTGACTTTTTATTTTTCCAAAGTAAGTGTTTATAACTCTAAGATCATATTGAGCAGTTACTATTGCTGCCAACATACTAAAAAAAGACAGCCAAATTGTGACTTTCATGTCACATGAGTCAAGATAAGAACAATATTTGTATCGCAGATAAATAACGATGAAACTGAATTGTGACTTCAGATTCACAATAGGTAGTAAAGAGTTAATAAAAATAGTTGAGAACTGTGTTCATTGAATCGTGACGAGTAATTAAAACAGCGCATATAAGTTAATAGATTGTATGCAAAATAGACTTGTATTTGTGTCGAGTCGATATGTTTATCTAAATATATAAAATAGATCCTGTTCCCGATATACTCCTAAACCCTTTGATCGATCTGTACTAAATTTTGCGTAGTTAGTTCGTTTAGAACCCTACGGAGAATATATACATGAAACCTGGTTACACGAAACCCCACCTGATTTCACCCCCTCGACACTTTGTGATAATCCAGGTAAGGCCTAGTAAGTTTCAGCTAGTTATTTATAATCCTGATGTATGCGAATATACATACACAATCTAAAACTCATGTTTTATCTCGTACAATTTGTGTAATCCGATAGAATTTACTCTGTAACGCTCTCTTTTGTCTCGTTAACAAAGCTGCTAGTCACATGAACGGGAGAGAAGGGAAACACGAAGAGAAATCTCAGTTTTATCTCACCTTTACCTAGTTCACCTCGGGGACATGCGAGCGCGACGTATCGAAAAATTGCACACACTCACCGAGTCGGCTGTATGACGAGCGTTCGCGTCGTTCGTAAGTAGCCGTAATTTTTGCGCGCGCAATCTCATGCATGTGCGTTACACCGCGCGTAACGCGAGGCGGAACACATCAAGGTTGACGCCAGGTGTGCAACGCGCGTAACAGAATCCTGCCGCGAGAAAGAGAGAGAGAGGGAGGGAGGGGGGGAGGGAGAGGAAGCGGTGCATCGCGACGGCGAGTAATTTCGCGAGAGCGGCGCGATTTAATAATTGCCGCATTGCGAGGAGCCGTTAGAGCCGCGCATACGGTATACGTGCATGCGAGGAAACATAACTGTACGACGATGTGTATCGGCCAACTGGACGTGATTTCGCGCGTCGGTTATAACGTTAGCGTTATCAAGCGGATCCGTCGAGCTACGCGCGGACGTTCGTTCGTTCGTTCGCACCGTTTGTTACGCGGAACGCGAATAAATCGTCGCGAAACGAGCGCGTCGGTATCGCTTCCTCTATCGCGTTTGTGTCGCGCATCGATTTGTCCCATGTTACTACGCAATGAAAATATTTTTCTCCGCTCGTCGTCAACTCCATTCAGCGTATTGTATTTTTTGTAAGTCAACTACACTGTGAGAAAAAATATCTAAAATATAAAAAGTATTTATTCGTGTAGTGAGGGGTGTCAATATATATTTACTTAAATTTGAATTATTTCATTTAAATAGAATATGTAATTGCTTTTTCATGAAAATGTCAAGAAAATGTATATTTTTTTATTTTAAAAGTATATATATTATTTTATATATATTATTTTATATATATTAGTATAAGTGAATATGTTATATATATATGTTATATTTTTATCACCGTAACATACTCAATTTACACAAAAACTCAAATTTTCTTCAAATTTAACTTATATATATATATATATATATACACATACATACATACATACATATATATATATATATATATATATATATATATATATATATATATATATATAT